TTATTATTAGTACTAGACTCATAGGGCCACAATGACACGAGGAAAGTCAGGATTTCAAAACAGAAATCACACTATTCCATAAACAAGTCACAATATTTCAAGAAAGGTCATCAGATGAAGTAGTTATAGTGAGGAAAAGGTATCTATTTGGTGCATGTTTAATGCTTTTGCTCAATAAATTCTGTACAGTTACCTTTCTTCGTAATATTCTAATGTTTTTTTCCACACATTTTTTTTTTTTATTTTGCTTAAAAAAAAGTTGCTGCACTATATTCTAAAATGTTAAACTTGAATTTAGTTGATTTTCTTTAGAAACAACTAGAAATATTACTACTGGGACTTTAATATTTGCTACTAGTTTTTACCTTACACTGAGAGTTCATGTGTGTTGACATTCTGCGTTAAAAATACAAACCAAACAGCATTTCTACCCGGCAACCCGGCATGTAGACGTCAGTGTGGGCAAAGAGCAGTCTCCTCTCTGTGCCAGAGTTCATCACCAAACCACAAACCCCATGTGGTCAGTTTAATTAGTAAATCATGAATAACATTTGAATGACGATATGAAAGGCTCAGGGTTTTTGGAGCTCTCTGTGAACCTTTGGTTTCAACCTCAAGTGTTTGACTTGGCCGTGTTTTGGCTTCGCTCGCCTCCCTGGTGTTTGAAAAGCAGACTTTAGAGTGACTCATGAATGGAGGATAAAAATACCATCGCTGCAGGAGAGATCTTACTTCACCTTCTGACCTCTCAGACACTCTGTACTTCTCTACTTCTCTGTACATGTAGTGGTGTTTTAAAAGAGGACCCTTTAATGCTTTTACGGTTTTCTCGCTTTAAAGTAGAGACACTACATACTGATATACACCTGAACATCAGCAGGAGAGGACTCTTTAAAGTAGAGACACTACTTACTGATATACACCTGAACATCAGCAGGAGAGGACTCTTTAAAGTAGAGACACTACATACTGATATACACCTGAACATCAGCAGGAGAGGACTCTTTAAAGTAGAGACACTACATCCTGATATACACCTGAACATCAGCAGGAGAGGACTCTTTAAAGTAGAGATACTACATACTGATATACACCTGAACATCAGCAGGAGAGGACTCTTTAAAGTAGAGACACTACATACTGATATACACCTGAACATCAGCAGGAGAGGACTCTTTAAAGTAGAGACACTACATACTGATATACACCTGAACATCAGCAGGAGAGGACTCTTTAAAGTAGAGACACTACATACTGATATACACCTGAACATCAGCAGGAGAGGACTCTTTAAAGTAGAGATACTACATACTGATATACACCTGAACATCAGCAGGAGAGAACTCTTTAGAGTAGAGACACTACATCCTGATATACACCTGAACATCAGCAGGAGAGGACTCTTTAAAGTAGAGATACTACATACTGATATACACCTGAACATCAGCAGGAGAGGACTCTTTAAAGTAGATACACTACATACTGATATACACCTGAACATCAGCAGGAGAGGACTCTTTAAAGTAGAGACACTACATACTGATATACACCTGAACATCAGCAGGAGAGAACTCTTTAAAGTAGAGACACTACATCCTGATATACACCTGAACATCAGCAGGAGAGGACTCTTTAAAGTAGAGACAACCACATACTGATATACACCCTGAACATCAGCAGGAGAGGACTCTTTAAATAGAGACACTACATACTGATATACACCTGAACATCAGCAGGAGAGGACTCTTTAAAGTAGAGACACTACATACTGATATACACCTGAACATCAGCAGGAGAGGACTCTTTAAAGTAGAGACACTACATACTGATATACACCTGAACATCAGCAGGAGAGGACTCTTTAAAGTAGAGACATACATACTGATATACACCTGAACATCAGCAGGAGAGGACTCTTTAAAGTAGAGAGACACTACATACTGATATACTCCTGAAGATCAGCAGGAGAGGATCTTTAAAGTAGAGACACTACATACTGATATACACCTGAACATCAGCAGGAGAGGACTCTTTAAAGTAGAGACACTACATACTGATATACACCTGAACATCAGCAGGAGAGGACTCTTTAAAGTAGAGACACTAGATACTGATACACCTGAACATCAGCAGGAGAGGACTCTTTAAAGTAGAGACACTACATACTGATATACAACCTGAACATCAGCAGGAGAGGACTCTTTTAAAGTAGAGACACTACATACTGATATCACCTGAACATCAGCAGAAGAGGACTCTTTAAAGTAGAGACACTACATACTGATCTACACCTGAACATCAGCAGGAGAGGACTCTTTAAAGTAGAGACACTACATACTGATATACACCTGAACATCAGCAGGAGAGGACTCTTTAAAGTAGAGACACTACATACTGATATACACCTGAACATCAGCAGGAGAGGACTCTTAAAGTAGAGACACTAGATACTGATATACTGACAGGAGACAGGAGAGGATTCAAAGTAAGAGACACAATACTGATATACACCTGAACATCAGCAGGAGAGGACTCTTAATAGTAGAGAGACAATAGAATACACAAACTACACATCAGAGGAGAGGATCTTTAAAGTAGAGACACTACATATGATATACACCTGAACATCATCAGGAGAGGACTCTTTGAAGTAGAGACACTACATACTGATATACACCTGAACATCAGCAGGAGAGGACTCTTTAAAGTAGAGACACTACATACTGATATACACCTGAACATCAGCAGGAGAGGACTCTTTAAAGTAGAGACACTACAATACTGATATACACCTGAACATCAGCAGGAGAGGACTCTTTAAAGTAGAGACACTACATACTGATATACACCTGAACATCAGCAGGAGAGGACTCTTTAAAGTAGAGACACTACATACTGATATACACCTGAAAATGTGCTTCATAGGAACCCTTTAATTCGTAGTAGTGAATGGTAGTGTCACAAAGTGGTGTCTTCTCATCAGTTCATTACGACAGAATGAAGTCTTTTGGTAATACACAAAATCCAAAGATGATATCCTTTCCTTATCTACACTAAACAAACACACACATTACACTACACCTTTACACTCTGTTCTGTAATTAAAACATCTCCCCAGCAGCCGCTTCTCTAATTTAGGCCGTTCACTTCACTGGGGGTCGATGAGGGTAAAGTTATACCCTCCGAGCGCCTTGATCCTCCGAGCCAGTCAGACAGGATGTGCTTTAATCAAGGCTTCCTGTGCTGCCTTGTTATGTCTAAGAGAGAGAGAAGGAGAGAGTAATGGATCCAGCAGCTGTTGCAGGAGAAGAGAGGAATTGAGAGGGTTGGAAAGTGTGTGAGTACTGGTGAAAAGCTCCAGAATAATAATAAGAGATGCAGGAGTGAAACCATGTCATGATTATTCACACTGCGCTGGATCAGACGTATAGTTTTAGTTGTATTCCCCTCATTAAAAATCATTATAAAACGTATAACGTATGTAGACTTTGAGCATTGGAAAGGAGCCGGGGGAAGAAAGTCTTATTTTACCCCTTACTCAAAAATAGCTATCAATCACAGCTGCTTACAACCAATACTTAAAATGAAACACAATCAAAAGTCAACACAACAATCTACCATCAGCGAATCCTGACATCTCCATACTGTCTAATTATTATTTCTTGATACATTTTCTTAATCTTAAAGGTCCCATGTCATGCTTTTCTGGTTATTACCCGTCCCCTTGTGTGTTATGTAGCTTTTTCTGCATGTAAACGGTCTGCAGAGTCACAAACCCTCAAAGTACACCCTGTAGCGAGTAAAACTCTAACACAGAAAAGACCTGTCTATGCTGCCCCAGAACGCCTCGTTGGACATTTCTCTTTTTCCATTGTTTACTTCTTGGGTATAGTGACGTATTTCGGGTATAGTAACGTAACGTAACGTCCGCGGAGCCGTTACGTTGGGACCAATCCACGGACTTCCTCACACACACACACACACACACACACACACACACACACACACACACACACACACACACGGCGGGACGTTGCGAGGCTCGCTGCTGCGAGGAGCGGGACACTGTGAGCTGGCTCACTGGTGTGGGGTCGGCGAGACAGCGAGACACCGCGGAACTCAGCCTGGGCACACACACAAACTCCCAGCCAGGCTGCGGGTGTGTGTGTGTTTCGCGCTGGGTCTCGCTGTGTCTCGCAGACGGCCACTGGGCTCACAGGGAGGGGGGGGGGCAGGAGCTCCAACAAGCCGTTTAGGACAGAGAGTGAATACACATACTATACAGAGATGCTGTATGAGAAACCAATGTGAGTTTGGAAAATTG